AATTTAAGCAAATCATTGTAAAGAAAACAAACGCTCCATATGAATTGAGATTTATTGACATCAGAAATTATATAGCGGGTGGGACATTAGACCAATTCACTCAAGATTTCGGAAATAATAAAACACGTGTTAAATCCTTTTTCCCTTATCAATTCATCACGTGGGAAAATTACGAAGAAGAATTATATAAAGTGGAACCATTCACGAAAGATTCATTTTATTCAGCATTAACTCAAGAAAGTATATCAGATAGTGATTATCAAATATATCTCAATGATGCTAAAAATTTTAAGAATAGATTAGAATATTTTATTCATTATTGCAATAAAGATGTTGAAATTATGATTGACCCAATTGATAAAATTATTGAAGAAACATTTGTTTATAAAATTGACACGCTTCATAATCTTTCTTTATCATCGAATGCTTCAATGATTCGTTACGCTTTAGCATATAAAGACTTTAATCCTAATGAAAAATATCCTGAGGAAGAGATAGAATCAAGTTTTGAATTAACGAAAAAGTATTGGAAATATAAAATTGAATCATATAAGAAACAAGATGAAAAAGCAGAAAGGGATACTAAAAATAATGTTTCAATGGATGATTTTCAATACTATCACGATTTAATCCTTTCATCTAAATGCAAAATGTGTGGTAAAGCGTTTACATATGCAAATAAACCAACATTGGATAGAATCGATAATGAAAAACCACATACTAAAGAAAATTGTCAGTTAATGTGTTGTTATTGCAATATCGTAAAATCAAATAAAGATGAAGATGTTCAACGTTTAAGAATCAATTTAAGAAATTATGCATTAAAAAATAATTTACCAATGACTTTAGATTCAGTTGAAGCTTATCACATTCTCCGTAATGGAATTACTGGTGGTCTATCAAATGTTCAACATAGAGTAAATCTTAAAGGAATCACGCACATTAATAAACTTGCATATAATCCAGAAACTAAAACTGTATCAAATGAGGACACTTCCAACATCATGACTCATTTCGTTGGTGTTGATTTTAATTCATTATATCCTTCATCATTTTCATCTAATCCTCATGATTTCATTCAATATACTGACCATAAAATGTATATGCCGGGAAGATTGAATGGTGTTATCATTTGTGATACAGCAACAAAGAAAGCAAAAGCACTGGGAATAATTAAGAAGAAAAATACTTTATTCGTGGCTGAAGTAAAGGGTCACATTGATGAAAAATACATTAATGATTACATAAACTTTTTACCGATAATAAGAAACTTAGATATTATCACAGATGAAAAAACAATTGGCGGTTTTATGTATAATTACATGAAATCAAACAATCTACCAGTTGACCAGAAACAGAGAAAATTAACTCAGTTAGCATCAACACACAACCAATATCAACCATTTTCTTCTTATTATCTTTGGTATCTAATAGACAGATTTCATTTTATCATCGATGATATTCAATCAATTTTAACATTTACTAAAAACACTTGTTTTAATGAATTTGCGAACGAATTTATGAACGAAAGACAAAAGGCTGAATTAGAAGGAAATAAAGGAAAAAGTTTATTTTGCAAGATTTCACTTAATGGATCATATGGTTACGATGCAATGAATACACAAAATTACGCAAAGACTAAAATAATGAATGCACAGAAGGCACGCGTTGCATGCATGTCAAATAAGTTTAAAAACATAAGAGAAATAGGTGAAGATACATATCAAATGATGCTCAAAGATAGATTTTATAGATGTGAAACATGTTTACAAGAGGCATTCTTCACTTTAGATAATGCTAAATACTGGTATTTGGTTTTCATTTATGATTTTATGTATAAATGCATGGATGTTAATCGTTTTCATTTCATTGAAGGTGATACTGATTCATCTTATTAGGCAATCGCTGGCGACCCAAATCTTCCTAACACTCAAGCATTTCAAGCAATTGTTACCGATAAACAATTTTATGATAAAAACATTTTCAAATTCGCACCTTTTGATTTCTTCTGTTTTGATGAGAAATTTAAACCTAAATTAAAGAATAAAGCTGAAGAAAAAGCACATGAGAAGAAGTTATTGGGTTTAGCAATTGAGAAACAAGGTGATAACATGGTTGCTTTATGTCCTAAGTGTTATACATCATTCAACGGTTCAATTGATGGAAGTGATTTTAAAAAGATTGCACAAAAAATGAAAGGTGTTAGTTTACGACAAAATAAACAATTAACACCTAAAAATTATTTGGATATAATAAATGATAAAGTGATATTTGATGGTCAGAATATTAATTTACAACTTAAAAACAGGTCAATGACTCGCTTAACGATTGGTAAGACTGCATTAACAGGAGCACACACTAAGGCTGTATGTTGTGAAAATGGATGTTGTATGCCATTTATTTAATACAATTTAAAATTTTATTTTTAATAAAATGCCACAGAAGAGACAAAAGGAACCGTTAATAATGGTTTTGATTCTTGATCAAAGAGGTGGGCACCCCTAAAACATTTATTTTATTTTTATATAAATGGATAATGTAGATTTAAAAATTTTAATTGATGATTTAGTATTTAATCAAAATTTTCTCAGTTATTACGATTTAAAAGCATATCTCCAAAAATATGATCCATATATAATGGGTGATGATATGGAATATTATTGGCCATTATATAATAATGTGGTTTTGAAATATCATGATAGAATAATTTCTAATATTAAAGACAAAATTGAAAATAATGAATATAAAAAGGGAAAAACTAAATCACAACTTAAACAATTGAAAGATTTCAAAAATAAAGTATTAACAGAAGAGGATATTGATAAATTATATAATTTATATAATCCTGAGCAGCAAAAACAAAAGGTGCAAAACGCCCAAGTCCTTCAGACCATAAATGATGCACAAGCTTTAATTTATGATTCATTAGTTAAACCATATTCAGCCCAACTTTTAAATGAAGATCAACTTTTGGAATTCATCCTTCAACATAAACTCGAAGTAGGAAAGTATATCAAACCTTGATATACAGCATATTTAAAACAAATGAAAAGAATACATCCAGAATTAATGAAAGGGGGAATGAAAGGGGGAATGAAAGGAGGAATGAAATCCAAAACTTCATCATCCAAAATCAAAGCAGATAAAATTAAACCTCCAACGACAGTACCTCCTCCTTCAGTTAATCCTTCATCATTCACTTTATTATATCCATTTCAAACATTAAAGAAGCAAAAATATTTTAAAAAGGATTTCAAAATATTAAATAAACCAACTGACCCAAAAATTCAACCGTTAAAGGAAAAATTTGGTCGCCCTTCATTTGCACCATATCCATATTCATACGAAATCGATCATCTGGAATATTCAAAAGGAAAAGTTACTTATTTATTTGCCATTAACATTAACACTAGATATTTATATTGCATTCCAGTGAAAGGGAAAACAGAACAGGAAACAAGAAGAGCTATACAATACTTACTAGATCATGAAAGAGTAGATAATATCAGGGCTGATGGTGATAAAGGATTTCAGGCAGCTATGGCTCATTATTTCCCACAAATTAATTTTTACTTATCATCCTCTCCATATACGTTTCATAATAAAATAGTTGATGCGGCAATGAGAACTCTTAGAGATGCGTTAGGGGTTAACGGTCAGATATACTGGGATGGAAATCATGACTCCATCATACAGCAGTTAGTATATTATTACAATAATACATGGCATAGAACTATAAACATGAAACCAATGGAAATGAAAAATGATATTTCAAAAGAATGGGAATATATTAGAAAGCAAATGGAAAGGTTAAATGATGTTAAACGTGAACAAATTAATTCGGGGCTCATGAATTTTAAACAAGGGGATAAAGTTTTGATTCATCTCGATTATGGAAAAACTGATAAATCAATGACAAAAAGAAGACGAAGATTTGACACAATAGCTGAATTTGTTAGATATATTAACGGTAATGCATTAGTTGAGGTTAACAATAAATTAATAGAAATTCCGATTTATTTTATTACTCCATCATATTTAAATAATGTTTAATTTTTTTATTTCGTAAGAAATGAGTGACAACGAAGCATCCAAGAGTCCAGACGATGAATATAAAAAGAAACTAAACAGAATTAAATCAAAAATATGCTATTACAAAAAAAAGAAGCCACAATGTGATGGGGTTGAAAACGATAAAGAGAGGAAAGAAATAATAGAAAAATTAAAAACTTACCGTTCAATCCTTAAACTGAGTGAAGCAAAAATAAAAGAATTTAATAGAATAAATAAATTGATTGGAAGAGATGAATTTAACAAAGATGGATTTTTAAACTCAATCCAAATTTAATTTTTATTCCTCTTCCGTCAATGGTTTCCCGAACCCTTCTGGGTTCTTCTTTCCATCATTACTGCATAACCACATCTTCTCGGTTTTTGTGGTTTGTTGTTGTTTTTAATTAGTTTTTGCATCATTTTTATCATTTCCTCCCTTGTTATGATTCGTGGTAAATTTTGAGCTTGTGGGGTATTCATTTATATAAAAATAAAATTTTTTTATCAGTTATGTTATCGTCAATGGTTTCGGTTATTCAATAATTAATTATTTTTGAATAACTGAAGGTGTCACTACGTCACCATGTGTCACTCGGTTATTTAAATTCTCTGAAAAAATGAGACAACATGACATTTTGACAACACTGGTGGGGAATTCATGAGGAAGGCACTTATGAATTATTTTTGAATAACTGAAGGTGTCACTACGTCACCATGTGTCACTCGGTTATTTAAATTCTCTGAAAAAATGAGACAACATGACATTTTGACAACACTGGTGGGGGATTCATGAGGAAGGCACTTATGAATTATTTTTGAATAACTGAAGGTGTCACTACGTCACCATGTGTCACTCGGTTATTTAAATTCTCTGAAAAAATGAGACAACATGACATTTTGACAACACTGGTGGGGGGATTAATGCAAAAATAAATTCCAATCATACTTTATAAAGCTTCATTTACAGGTATTTCATCGTCAGTAAATGAATCCTCATCATCGTTTGGTTCAACCTGTTTAAATAATCCTTTCATTTCTTCTTTCAAAACATAACACCATGTTTGTTTACCATCTATTCTTCTCTGTTTCTTATCACATTTATCCTTAATACTCATTTGGAAATTCTTGTCTTTCATGTCTGATGGTTTGCAGAATAGAGCATTTTTACACGTCATACCTGCACACAATTCATCATAATGTGTATTTATCCATACATCTAAAGGATTTGTTGATAATTCAATTAAATCTTGTTTGGCTTCAGTCATTGGTATGATTCGTACATTAAATGATGAAAGGTCGTAATGCATAAAATACGTCAGTAAATTATCATAAAATTCCTTTGTGCATGAATTCATCAAATTCTTGAAATAATCAAATTGACCCTTAAATTTACCATTAACCCTTAAAACTACGTATCTTCTGTCTCCAACTTCAATTTTGACAGGGTAAACATTGTTAGTTACGAAAATGAAATTGGCAACATTCTGAGCAGTTCTTCTGGGTTGATTCTTTTCATTAATTCTAATCTCATTATCCGTAATAATTGATTTCAAAGCGTTGAAGTTTGCGAGTCTGTCTTCACCAACATTCTTGAGTTCATTAAGTACAAGAAACATTTTATTCTCAACTACTGAATTGAAATTACCCGTTAACTCACTTATTTCAGTAATGTTTTTGCATGAATAACCAGCGAGAAGTTCAGAAATAATGTCTGTGAATCTGTTTTTACCTGTTCCCTGAAGTCCTTTCAAAATAATTGCTGTTTCATTCTTGATTCCAGGATGTTGAATCATTGATGCAATCCAGCCGAGAAGGTATTTATACACTTCATCATTATTATCACAAATGGCTTCTTTAATGAAATTCATAAACATCTCAATTTTTGAGTAATCTAGTTTTTCGAGAACGTTGTATTTATAACCCTGAAACGTTGAGAAAACATCGGGGGAATCAGATTTAAAGCAAACACCCTTAACAGTTAATGAGGATAATTGATTTAATAGTACATCCCATGCTGTTATTGTTTTACCTTCTTCTTTAAATAATTTAATCATTTTGAGTGACTCTTTCATGTTTGATTGAAGAACGAATGATATTTGATTCATTTTGTCGTGGATATTATAGTCCTTTTGAATGAAATATTTATTTCCACAATCTACAAAACGGATTACATGTGATAAATCCTCAATTACTTCAGAACTGTTTTTATACTGATGATTTTCAGCCTTGCGTCTAATATCTGTTATCAAAAACGAGTCATCAAGTTTGATATCAAATGTTATTTTTGGCTTACGTAATAAAGGTAAAACGTATTCATCATAATATTCCTTTTGATATAGTTTTAGAATCTTCACCAAAACAAATGGAGAAGTCATTAAATATGCATATCTACCACGTGCTTTTTCAAAATTACTTTTTGCATTTTCAGTTAAATTGCAGAAGTTATAAACGTTATCGTATGCTTCATTAATTAAATGATTAGGTAACGAATTAATTGATTGAAACAGTGTAAATAATGTAACTTCTTTTTCTAAATTCATGTTTCCACCGTCATTATGTACTTCAAAATCACAGATGCCATCGACTATGCTCTGGGCAAGTTTATCGTCAATGTTTACATCTTTGTTTTCATTTATTATACTCTTTATTTCTTCGTTCTTCTGTTCAACTCTTACCTTAATATTCAAATCATTTAATATATCGTTTACTGTTCTAGTTAATGTTGAATCATAACTTCCACGAATGAATGAGTATGTATTGATTGGTTCTGTTGCATTCTTGCGAACTCTTGAATCAGCCATAACCACTAATGAACGTTTTGAATCATCCATTGAAGTCATGATATCAATATCATAATCATTGCAGGAATAACATTTAATCATTCTGTTCGAGGTTGAATAGAAGAAATTAGTGTTGCAATAAATGTGAAGACCTCCTGAAGCGGTTTTAACGATAACATCTTTATCCGAAAGTTTTGATAGAATGTCTTTTCTAACTGTTTCTTTAAGTTCATCATTGTACGATTTATTGATATCAACATCTATAATCGTTAAATTTGATATTTTATTTACTAATAAAGCCATACCAGTTTTCCTTCCTCTTCCTCCATCGTGTTTGAGGTAGTTATGTAAATCAATCATGTTTTCACCAATTCTTTCGTTGAGGGTTTTAGTTTCTGCCACAACTAATTCCTCAGCTAATGAATCAATAACTTTTTCATCAGAAACGATATAGTCACTGTTGCTGTTGTCGTTTGTTGCTGTCATTTATATAGGAATAAAAAAATAAAAATAATTTTAAAACTAACTTTATTTTTGGGCTGCATCATATTTCCGTCACTGTTGTCAAAATGTCATGTTGTCTCATTTTTTCAGAGAATTTAAATAACCGAGTGACACATGGTGACGTAGTGACACCTTCAGTTCTTCAAAAATAATTAATTATTGAATAACCTGAAACCATTAACGTAAACATTAACGTAAACATTAACGTAACCATTAACGATGAAACCATGACGATAACATGATGAAACCATTAACGTTTAAGTTTGATGAAGCATTAACGATGAAACCATGACGATAACATCATATTTCCGTCACTGTTGTCAAAATGTCATGTTGTCTCATTTTTTCAGAGAATTTAAATAACCGAGTGACACATGGTGACGTAGTGACACCTTCAGTTATTCAAAAATAATTAATTATTGAATAACCGAAACCATGACGATAACATGACGAAATCATTAACGATGAAATCATGACGAAACCATTAACGTAAACACATATTTTTGGTCGTTAATGACAAAAATAAATGGTTCATTTACTCACAATATTTTTGTACAAACGGCCCCCCAAACTTTTAACTTCTTTTCTGCAGCTTCAAATGCTATCTTGGCGAGTTCATATTCTCTAAATTCTCTCTTTAAATCTTCTTGTTCCCATTGGTCTAGTTCGTATGGGGAATCTCTATAACCATAAAATATCTCACGTTCATGTTCTAATTGTTTTTCGTGCATTTTCCTAACTTCTTGTTCGAACAAAGGTTTAGCATTCACTACTGTATCTTCAACTTCTTCTTCATCTAATTTCTCATGAACTTTCTTGTCTATGGAGTCCATAATTTTTCCAACTGCTATGCAATATTTTGGAGAAGCCCACATTGTTATATAGTTTATAAGTCTTGGGTCTACATACGTTCCTCTAACCTGTTTGATTTCATCAGAAATTCCTGCATGAATTTTGTATAAAAACCAACCGTCTGTATTCCGGCGGTTGCTATATTCTTCACAAAACGCCTTATAATATTCTTCCCAGGACTTATTTTCCAACAACTTTCTAAAGTCTTTCCTAAACTGTTGACACATCTTTGTTGCATTAATGTAACCATCCTTGTCTCTACGTAAGACTTCAATACCATTATAAGTGCCTTTTGTGAATGTTTCGCCATTAGATTTGTTCGTGAATGTTTTTGCTTCGACTGACATTTCTGTTCTTTCATACAAAATAAAAAAATAATTTAAATTATGCCGTTCACTCTTTTGGAGCTCAGGACTTTCAGTCCGTTCTAAAGTTTGTTTCACAAACATTGAGCGTTCATTGAACTCTCCGTCACTGTTGTCAAAATGTCATGTTGTCTCATTTTTTCAGAGAATTTAAATAACCGAGTGACACATGGTGACGTAGTGACACCTTCAGTTATTCAAAAATAATTAATTATTGAATAACCGAAACCATTAACGTAAACATATATTTCCTGCAGTTCATCCGCTACTTCATTACCTAATTAATTACAGACATAAAATATATTTAGTTCATTCGGTACCATGCAAATACAGTCATAAATGGTGGCATATAATCTTTACCCAAGCCTGTTGGATTTGTTGTGAAAGTATGTGTATGATTTCCTCCTGGTTCAGTTTGTCGAAAAATCTTTTTTGCTGCATTGTTATAAGATGGAGATAAAACATCATTGCCAGCTTCATACTCTGAGTTGTATAATGGATGGTCTCTTAATGAGTGTATATGGTCGCCAGAAAAGTTTGTCGTTCCTGTATGAGTGTGCGGTGGAAGGTTTGCTTCTTTAATTTTCTTCGAACCTCCTGCCGTCTTTGAATATCTAGCACAGTATAAGAATTTGTCTATAATCTGCTTCCATTCACCAAAACCTAAAACTGTTGCTGTATTTGTTGAGTTCATTGACGTATAAATAGAACCAACAGGATATAATGTTTGAAGTATTTCAGTCTTTAATATTTGAAGCTCTGTTTTGTCTACCTTCTTCATTAACTCACTATTAACATATTCCTTATCCGCTTTAAGGTCTAAACATCCTGAAACCCATCCTGTATCAGCTTTAGTTTTTAAAATCTTCGATGTCCATTCATGATACCATTCAACCCTTTCTTTAATTTCATTATCTTTTTCATCAACATAAACCAAATTTGCCTTCTTCATTAACTCACTATTAACACATTCCTTATCCGCTTTCTTCATTATGTCGTTTAGGAAACCTTCTATGAATTCCTCATTTAAATTAAATCTTCCAATCTTCAAAACTTTAGGAAATGCATTTAATGCGTAATATCTCTGTTCTTCTGGTGGAATTGATGTTATATCATCCGTTATTCCTTTAATTTTTGAATTCATAAATAAAATTTCTTTTATATTTGATATCACTGCACCACCTTTGCAAACGAATTCGAAATGGTCATTTTTCAATACTATCTCCAAATCTCCATATTTCAACCTTTGCGTTTGTTCTGCCGTCTTTGAATTATATGCATATATGGCGTATGTAATGGTCTGAAGGACCTGGGTGCTTTGTGCCTTAAGTTGTTGTGGTTGCTGTTGTTTAATCATTTATTATGATTTAAAAATAAATATTTAATCCGTTATCTCATCAGCTATTTTTCTATTTGAAATTGCCATAATATTTCATTCATAAATTCTAAATCACAATCAAATAGGTCAGTTATTCTAAATTTAATATTTGATAAATCTTTTGAATGAAGAATAAATGAATTCCCGGATAATTGAAACGGATATGATAAAGAAAATGTGTTTAAGTTGATGGATAAAATGTTTTGTATTGATGGGTAAGAGTTAGGGTCTAATGTTTGATGTAAAATCTCATTGGGGTATTAACTTTATCACATTTGATTAAAATGAAATTGGAACCAGTGTCAGAATACAAAACATCCCCAACATCTTTTTCAAAATTTAATATCCCAACAATGAACGAAGATGGGAGTACAAAATTTAATTTTCAGCGGGAATTTAATAAGGTTATTTATTTCATCAAGTTCAAAAAGTTTATCAGGTTTTGATTTAAAATTTTCTTCATACCATACGATAAATGATTCATTTAAATAACTTAAAATCGTGTTAATATCCCATTTCGTTATCACATTATTTATATACATATCATACGTTTTTTCATGGTCATCTTTAATAAATGATATATAATCTGAAGGGTCTAAAAGAATGGGATTAAATTTACCACTCACAGAAACGAGAGTAACATTATAAATTCCGCTAACTGTTAAATTTAATTCACAGTTGTTATTCGAAATAATATTGATAATTGACATTTTTATTATGATTAAAAATATGGTAAAGCGTTATTTTCCAGTGATAAATAAAACTAGAATAAGATTACCTCAAGAATTCATAAATTCAACGAATAAGAAATTCATTCATGTTATAAATTTTAGTGTTTTCAGAAAATATGAGTCGATGTCATATTCATCAACGGTTATATTTCACTTCATTCAAATTTAGTTCAATCAAACCCATATAATGACCATTTCATAAGATTTTCAGATGGTATTAAAAATGTAATTGATAGATTAAAATATGAACAGATTGACAATATCGAATTTTTGGAATTTTGGTTTAAATATCCCGATGGAAAAAAGATTGAAGTTAAAGATAAAGCTGATACTATAACAAAAACAATTACAATGACCGATCCGGATAGTGGGAACAAAAAGAAATAAAACAAACGATAGAAACTGGTGAAAGGTCAATTATTATTGATTATGATTCAAAGGATTATTATTCGATAATGTTAATGCTTGAATATTAAATAGCCTTAACAAAGAATTTTTCAAGTGATATTTTATATTCATCAACTATTTTATTATAAATATCATTATATGTTAAATGAAGTTCAGTTGTTGTTCCGTTCTTTGATATCTTAATTGTGCTAATATCCTTTATAGGATTTATTTTTGCAACTGTTCCGCAGCATGAAACCTCATCATCTATGAAAAATTGAATCTTAACGTCTGAATCTTGAACATCACAAAGAATGGCGATAATGTGAATTAATGATTCATAAGGTAAAATAATTAAACCGGATTGATCAATTAAATTTATTATTGAATCATAATTATTAATTATTATATCACGGTAAATTTTCATTAATTCAGAATTAATGTCTATTTTATATGGGTTATCAAGTGGTGCTGGGTATGTTGGATAAGTGGGAATCTCAACAGGTTCTTTACTGGGTTCAGATAAAATGGTTGGGTCTCCATCTTCTTTATTTTGCTCCTCATTCTTCGGTAAGTCACGAGTTAATAAATTTGGTTGAGTTGCTGACCTTGTTAATTCAGGGCTAACATTAACTTTAACATTTTGAATAATTCGTGATTTATCATCATTTACGTTATAACCAACCGTAATCTCTGCTTTTGCGTTAGTGTTCTTTTGACTAGTGAAACGTCTTCTCATTTATATTCGAATAAAAAAAATATATTTAAACTTTTATTTTGCTGGAACTTTTGAATCTATTATTCCCTGTATTTGTTCATGAAGTTGATTTTTAGCTGTTTCATCGAAATTAATAGACCGAATATATTCATTAATTGCATTCTTATAATCATCTGATTTCTCAAATTTTCTTTTATCTGATTCCTTAACTAAATCATAAGTTAAACCTCGTTGCTGATATAATGGTTTCTTAATTAAATCTTTGAATGCTTGAGATAAAGCACCTGATGCAATTCTTGCTACTATAATTGGTTGGAATTGCTGTTTAAGTTCATCTTTAACATTTGCGAAAACTGGATCGAATAAAGCAACTTTAAAGAATTTCTTAGCTGAAATTTCAGGTCTAATATTTGCATATTGACCATCAAACTGGTTAGAATATCGTGGTAATCCATCCGGTCCCTCTTCAATAGCATTTAATTCTTCATTGAAATAAGAATATGGATTATGACGGTATGAATTAATTGGACCATTTTCACCTTCTCCAATGTATTGTTTAACAGCTTTTCCATTTTCATCAAATTGCATAGGATAACGTTCATTATATGCTTTACGTTTAGGATAATCAGATACAGTTAATTTATAACCATTTATGACTTTAATATTACCTTGACCATCAGTAACGAAAACTTCATTTATACCATCAGGTTTTCCATTTGGACCCGTAATGTCTGCTTCGTGTGCTTCCCAATTTGGACCTTGACGTTTGGCATATGCTTGAGCTTCTGGTAATGTTAAAACGTTTCTCATTTGTTTAACATCTTTTTGAAGACCAGCAACAATATGAACTAATTCTTTCATTCCATCAGGAACTTTCATAGTTCTATTATATGCACCCTTTTTGTTTGTTCCTTGTTTTAATGGAACCTGTAGAAGATTTGCTATTTCTGTCATGTTTAATTATAAATAAAAAATAAAAATTAATTATAAAAAGTTAATCAAATTTAACACTTCCTTTATTTAAATCAACTATTATTTTTCCATGTTCACCTAATTGCTGATATTGTGTGTAAAGTTCATTAATGCTCATTGGTAAATTCACTTGATAAAGCATAACGTTCAACTGTTGACGACTAAACCCACTGAAAATGAAAAGTGTTGATAGATTTGATTTAATGTTTGTGCTTAATGCTTTGAAGTATTGAACAGCCATGAAGAATGAACACTGAATGTGTCGACATTGAGTTAATAACTGATTAAAATATGATTTTCATTTGTTATTAGTTTTGATTTCACTGCATCATCTAGAAAAATGAGTGAATGCAAAAATTCTCTATCAAAATTTGAAATAGAAAGTGTTTCAAATAATTCATCCCGTTGTTTATCAATAATTTTATCCTCTAATCCTTGCTTCTTGATTGTATTATATAATTCTTTATACATTAAAAAGTTTTTTTAATCTTCTGCTTCTTCTTGTGATAAATAAATAATTGGAATTTTGATTAAATGCTTTAAAGATTCAAATGTATCATCTGAAGGTGAACCTGAACGGTTGATATAAATTAACACATGTGAATAGGGGGAAGTGTTAGCAATAATGATAATTTGTTTTAATATCGTTAATGTTTTACCTTTATTTTGTTTACCAATTGCTGCAGTGATTGAATTTAAATAACATTCAGAATATGGAATTTTCATTAATTTTTCCTTAGATAGAGCATTTCTATTATCACTCAATGCTTCATTAATCATATCATCTACGTATGTATTATATACTCCTGCTAATTCTTCATAAGGGTGGATGAATTTAAATCCATTTAATCAAAAATAAATTTATAATTTTAAACATTTCTATTCATCAATATTTCATCATATGAACTTCTATACTGTGGTGGTGTACCTGTTGGATGATATTTCAAACCTTCATCCGGTGTCCATGTCCAATATGTAGTCCTAGTAAACCAAACCTGAGGAGGATTTGTCACCTTTGAACAGTAAGTGTCATTTTCACCCTGAATGATTGGATAAGCTTTCACTTGTACTGTAACTTGTGAGTTGAAAGTTTCTAATCCATCAAAGAATATACCCGCTCCATCACGTTGAACTGGAATAGTGCATAAGAATGAAGTTTGGTCTTTCCATGTTCTAGCTAATGGCGTGCCATTATCATCATTCAGTGGTCTAGTTAATGAGTCCTCGTATTCTTCTGTGCATTCATTCACTCCATCTAAATCAGAAGCTTGAAGCATACGTGTAAAGAATATGTCGCCCACTGTGGTCATCGCTTGATCGGGGTTTCTGGAATCTATAGTGACCTGAAGACCTCGAAGCATTGGATTTTCTAAAACTGTTCTTTGCATTGCATTCTTCGGAAATGTTAACACAACATCTGTAACATTATGAAGAGCGTATGAGAAATCTGAGCTGATACCTTCAGGAGTGATGCAACCTCCATTTAGTGAACGAACGTCAATATGTTGAGCTGGAATCATGAATGGATCTTCCTTACTGAATAAACGTGGTATTGCTTTAACTGATTCTTCAATTAAACCGTATCCTGGTGTAATGCATTTATCCTCTAAAACTTCCATCTTTGTGCATGAAATAATAACGTCATCAACTGTTGCGTCAGCAGATGTAGCGGCTAAGCTTGTAATTAATTTGGCAGGAAGTCCGATTTGTTGGAATTTGCGATCATATTTATAAACATGATTCATAATCTTTTCATAATTTTCATCAGTTATCTTTTCATAAACGTAATTTTGTAAATCAGCAACTCTTAACGGGTCAACCTGACAAAATACTAAAGTATCCCTGAAAAATAATATTTAAGAATGATATCACCAAATGATTTAGGATAATCATCGAACGCCTGAAATGCTAACAAATCATTTACCGGAATAATCATATCAAAAGTGACATCAACTTCTTCATTTGCTTTCTGAAAACTTCTGAAGGGTCAATATATTTACCACATACTGAGTTATCATATTTTTGAACATTATTATATAACGAATGAACAAACTTTTTAACTTTCCTTTCTGATTTTGGTTTATATGTTGCAAATGCGAAAGATTCACGGGCGCAATCCATTTGAAGATAACCGGCATCACCTCTTTCAGTTTCTACTTCTAATTGTTTAA